GTATGTGTGAAAACGCCCTAAATGTTTGGCACAGAGTAATAATAGAGTATAGTGAAAGCGTTACGCCCTGTGTTGCATTCAAGCACCACAAATAAAGACTTTCTAACGTGAAAGCGTCCAAACCATATTTTCTGAAAACCTAACTAAGTGGTCTAAAAATAAACTATGACTTAATAAAACTCAAGATAATAAAAAAAATTGTTTACGAGGCAAATTATCGCCTTTTAAACTATTTTACCACAGTGGTATGAACCTAAAATAAACAGATGTTGATTTAATGTCAGTAAACAGACCTAAATGATGCCGAAATAACAAAATCATGATGGCAATTTATAAAAAGTCTGAATTCAAACTGTTGTGATGACTCACATTAAACACCGTTTGAGGTTGTGTGCAGTCAGTTTCCTTGTGGTCTGATGTACAATCATTCGGGACCTGAGGTAACCTTTGCGAGGCAGCTGGACTCTGTGCATTTCTTGGCCAAACTACAGCGTCCTTTGAGGACACTGTTGGTTGAATCGCCCATCATTCGACGATTGATAGATGGTTCATCCAATCCAGCTACATGCTAGCATCAGTTACATCTGGAGAGAATTTCCTCATTAACAGAAGAGCAAAGAACGACACTGAAGGACTTTTTCTCCCGATTGGCTTCAGTCAGAGTTTGACTACGTGAAATGGTTTGTTGATCTGATTGGTTGAAGTTCGCCCATCGTTCGACGTCTGATAGATGGTTCGTCCAATCCAATTTTTTTGAAAGCGTCTGCCCTTTTCCAAACAGTTTCCAACAGCGACTTCCCAGATGGTTCTGTCTTAGAGACCATCTGGCTCAGTCAGGTTAGACCTGAGAGGTTTGGGCCAGAATCAGCTAATGGTATTGATTCACATCAATCAGCACAAGTCTGGCAGATGACCAGCAGTCAGGATGGAGATATAGAAGCTATTTCAGCGACTTGGCAACTGTTTCTGTGACAAGATATTTAGTCTGTGTGAAGCTGAACGTCCACCACGGCAGACATTACCCTTTAAAACCCATCTGCTACTGCATCCACACAGTACAACCTTACACATATGTATGAGCTGACACTCACACATACACAGAGGTTCATATGTCTGTAGAGCTGTTCGGTGTTTAGTAAGTTTCGTCAAACACATGCAGATTATCTGATTCTGAGGCCGTTTGCAAAGCGATCAGCAAACACGATCAGCAAACACGATCACAAACTGCGTGTTTGTTTGCTCGCTGAGGAGTTCACACAGCAAACAGCATGCATTCATTTTAGTGTGTCAGTCTCTGTAAGAGGCACAACACAAACCCAGAACCATCAGCACACAGTTCGGCATCGGATCCCCAACGAACCCGACCCTGCTCGCCTCAGCTCTGGACTGTTTTTTTAACCCAGAACCTGAGGGCCAGAGGACGGTTAGCCGGACTGTATGTGTGCATGGTTCTGGGTTTCATTCAGCATGCGAATCATTCAGTCCATCCAAGTGGCATCAGAGTAAAGCTGTGGATGACAGGAAGCAGGGTGGCATGGAGAGGCAAGCCAGATAGATAGATAGATAGATATAAAGGTAGATCAGTAGGTAGAAAGGTAGGTAGAGATGTGGGTTATTGGCACATCTACACGGTGAAGGTGACTGAGGTTGTGCATACAGTGCCTGATAACAGTTCCCATCTGTGGCAGTAACTGGTCAGACTGGTTTGTTGTGTTGTGAGTGATAGTTTGGATTTTTGGACTCTGGACTGTAGTTGGAGATCTTCCAGCCAACCAGTGTCTTACAAAACAAACATTATAAAGTCAGTTCCCCTCCTTTATATCTTAGGTTATAGTTAAACAGGAAGTGTTAGTATCTTTAGTTCACTGCAGCAAATATAAAGCTACTGAGCTCCTGCTGTCTGACAGGGATAAATACGGTAATATTATGCACCAATATGGTTTATTAATGTCTATTTAAATGGCCACTTTACATTCTGTTGACATTGTTAAAAATGTGTAGATTGTTTATTATTGAGGTCAAACGTGGTGTTGAACTGGACTGCGGTTCATTATATACGAAGAGCTGTTTCTCATCTCATTTACATACACAAGGGTGGGTCAGAATATTATAATAATAATAATAATAATAATAATAATAATATAATAAAATACAGTCCAGAACAACATCATCGCTGTGACCTCAAACGATGGCCTAAAATGTTCAGTTTTTGTGCTGTTAATTAAATTTATGTTGTAGATGAGTCCCACTCTTTTAAGAATATGGGTTTCCAGTAATTTTTCTTTTACCAATACAATTACTGGACATTTGCACAACAGTTGTCGTTGTTTTTTTAAGACTGTTCCCAACCCTGCAGGCCGTCTGGTCTATTGTAAATTGTTTAATAGAACAATTTGGTCAAACATCAGGGGAAGAAAACCGTCAAAAAAGGGAAGCCTATTAAGACATTTTTTGACAATAATTCACTGTTTTGGGTTTCATTGTTCAGTTTTTAATTAATATGTAATAAACATAAAATATGTCACTGAGTCAGTTTATAATGATTTATGATTTAAAGAGGTGGTTTTGTGCCGTGCTTGGCCGTTTGATTTTCCAAACTTTTCGAGTTCAGTTCGCAATAAATTCAGCTCAACTCAGACTAACATACAATCAAACATTTTCAGGATATTTTTGGTGATTTTAATTAATTTTCCAGG